TTATTCATGAAGTCGTTGATCAACCTTGCTTTCGATTTCCGATTCTTGCTTAACCTTACTATCACAGTGTCGATTTGAGGAGTCTGAAAAATCTGTCACTGTAGCTTCTAAATGAGTTCAATTAGTTACTATCCTTGTCGGATTGTGGAGTTGACTCAAGTCTTTAAGAGTTAGAAGATAACAAATGCCGGATAACATTATGTGAAATCTGTTCAAAATAAGTCCCGTTTTCTGTCTGCAATAATCCCGGTTACCTGATAAAAAAAAATGTGATTTTGTTTATATTATTTCAATTTGGTAACTGACCCGAGATAATAAATCCTGTTGTCACGTAGATTGTCCGTTATTGCAGTGTTTATTAGAAAAATAAAATAAAATAAATGAATTTATTCTGTATTGTGTAAGCAGCTAATTTCTTGATTTGTTGAAATAATTTAGAATCCATTACTAAATTAATATATTCAGTAATGAAGCTGTTAAACTTACTTGTAACTTTACTTGTAGGGCAGCTCAGACCTGTCAGTCCTAACAGAAGCAGGTGTTGCACAAGCAGAAAGATGCCGGACTGCCTTATCTGATATGCACTTTGACCAGTGTTTTTCGAGCCCAATATCTCGTGCCAAGGTTTTATTTTCTTTACTGTGATTAAGTGTTAGGTAGGTCTAGAGTTCTTTTACCCTTCATCGTCCACCCTAATAAACAAATGTAATATGTTATGCAGTCTACTGCTGAAATCTTATGGCAAGGCAGGGAAGAGCCTTTGGTTTATCTTGACTCGCTAAAGGAGGCTCATTTGTACTTTCTTGAAGGCTTGAGAAATGGTCTCTCTCTCTCTCTCTCTCTCTCTCTCTCTCTCTCTCTCTCTCTCTCTCTGCTTATAGCTTTGTTTGGTAGGAACAGCTTTTTTGAAAAGCTCGAGCTTATCTTATAAGCTTCTTTGGATAACTTTTCAAATAAGCTCGTTGTTTTATTTCAGCTAGTTACTTTTACCAAACACTTTTATCATATAAACTAGCTTTTATGTAAGCTATATGCTCAAAAATCACTTATAAGCTATCAGCTAGCTTATTCTGATAGCTTATCAACTAATTTTACCAAACATAACCTTAGTAATTCTGAAAGATAATTGGAGTTTTAATAATGATTTTATTAACGAATGAAAAATAAGTGAGAATTATTGCCAAGAATACGATATCTGTAAATGTGTATATATATACATTTGTTATCACTTTTGTAAATCGTATTTAGTGTTTGGAGGCAGTGGATGCTAAGAAGAAATACCCAAAGGAGTTTACTCAGTGGAGAGAGGATCCCTCCAATTTTTGCATTAACGGTGTTTTTCCCACGAGGAAATTGTGGGAGACTGCCCGTGAGGCTTGGTTAGAAATCTTATTTACGCCGGTATGACTTTTTTTTTTCATTTCACTTCAAAAAATACTTTCCAATTAATATTCTACATTGACATTGAACTCATTACCTTATTTGCTGAATAAGTAGGGAGAAAATTTCTTGGTTGTCACACATAAATCGATCTTGAGGGCTTTGATCTGCACAGCTCTCGGGCTTCCCCCAGAGAGGTACCCTAAATATCTCGAACATGTTTTTATCTCGGTTGATTTTGAGTGTATTTGAGTTAAAATAGGTTCTTACAGCATTTTTGGCTTCGTTTGATGTTTGTCCAAAGGTTTCGTGCAATCGATGTTAACAATGGTGGATTGTCTGTATTTGGGTTTAACAAACAAGGAGAAGCAATGCTTCGGTCTTTGAATATGACTGCACATATGTACACGGATCACGTATATCATTACTAGACGAATACATAGGAAAATGTTCAGCCTTAGGAGATTTTAATTTTATTATTTTTATTTTTTTCAAAATTAAGTGCTTGTTAATAATGAAAAGTGACTATTCTTGGTAAAGTTTGTTTTTGTTTTGGGGAGCTTTTTATATATTCTTTTTGTTGCGCAAGTTATTTGATTATTGGTGGTTTTGGCTGAGATTATAAGATCTTCTGAAACATGTTATACATGAATTACAGAGCTATGACAACTTAAGGTTTTAATTCATTGCAAGAAAAGAAAACATTAATTTTTTGATTTTTTTTTTCTTTGAATTTTGCATGCTCAAATTTCATTTTAAATTTTCAAAACATAATCTGTAATATAACATGGACGTATTTATCTATATTCTGAAAAGAAAGACAAAAATCTTCAAACCAAACAGAGCATACCAAGCAACAACATAAGCATTAAGATGCAAGAGAAGCACATTTAGCTCTTATGGCCTGTGAAAAGAGACAAAAAAAATTGAACATAACATACAGTTTTATCCTGGTGGTTGTGAAATTACAACAAGAAGCCATGAGTTTAAAATTATCTGATTAAAATTATATCTAAGTGTGTACTTCCTTCCATGAAGAAATCAAAACTGATTAAAATTAACTGCACATCCAGATGTGATATAGTTCTAAGTTCTAAGCATGAAAAGTTAAACACCAAAGTATTATTTTTTCCATTAAAAAATACAATGACTGAGTAAAAACAGTTTCAAACAGCAGATACATGAAAATTCAAATACTGATTGCTACACATCAATCTTCAGCTCTTGGACAAAAATGAGAGAAAAAAGAAGGAACTGATAGGATAAGAAAAGAAAACCTTAAAAAAAAAAAAATTTGCTTAAGAACAAAATTTCCCTAAAGCAATAGAAATCAGCCTACCAGTCTCCTTCTATACTTCCACCAATTAACCTCCAACAGCAACCTTTTCTTTCTTTTCTTTCTTTAAAGGAGCGACCTTTTCTGGTTTCTCAATCCCTTGTATATCCGTTATACATAACTTGGTCAATTCCTAAAATACAATGTGGAGGAATTAAGACAGAGAACTACAGTAGGGTAAATGTTTTATTGTAAAATTGATGAAAAGCAGAAAGCACGAACATGCCACTAAAATGAGAATGGAAAAAACGAACTGAAATTTATCACAATTCTCGATTACCTGGCGATGACCTTTAGTTCTTCTGTAGTTCTTTCTTCTTTTTTTCTTGAATACGATGACTTTAGCATCTAATGCCTGTAAAGCAAAGAAAAAAAATGAAAATTGATTCGGAACTTCTAACAGATAAGCAAAAAGAAAAGAAAAGATCAAATCCAACACAATCTGTTAGAAGATAAGCATATAATTTGCCTGAGGATGGAACTACATTATCCTTATCTTGATAAATGCCCGATTTTACCTGCCACAAGCTTCAATTGTATTGTTTGTTACTGATCATCACTGTCCTTAAGCATAACAAGAAAGGCAATAGAGAACTTATTACATAACTAATGAGTTGCGTAAAGTGTTTCGTTTAGTTAGTTGGTCAAAATCAATCATAGAAGAAATTCCACACTTC